GCTCTAAACCCTTCATGCCTTTTGCCCCTGTAAAGAATCCCAAAACCAGAATAAAACCCACCCCAGATGTATTCTACATTCTGCCTGTTTGGGTAGCCCCTCAACTGCACTGCCAACCTTTCCAGCTTAAGTGGACTGGATCCATTTTGGAGGAATGGGACATCACTCTTCCTTTTTTGGCCCTGTGGTGTCTCTACGCCTGAACTTGGCCTTGAATCATGCACAACTGTGAAAGATAGGGGTTCCTCAATCCTCTAGCCACAATTGTTTCAGGTCTCCTTCCAGCCTCGCCACATGACTTGGATTCTCACCACTCTGGTCCATGCGCTTGTAATCTCGAGATTAGACCACTGTAATGTGCTCTATGTGGGGCTACCTTTGAGATTGATGTGGAAGCTTCAAATGGTGCAGAATGCGGCAGCCAGACTTCTTAGTGGAGTGAGAAAACATCAGCATATCTCTCCCACTCTGGCTGCCTTGCACTGGCTGCCCATTCGCTTCCGCATGAATTTCAAAGTTTTAATGATTACATATGAAGCCCTAAACGGTTTAGGACCTTGATACTTGGCGGAATGCCTCATCTCACCTAGGTCTACTCATATCACTCATTCTAGCCAGGAGGAGTGGCTGAGGAGCCTAATGCCAATGGAGGCCCTGAAGGGAAAAGTAAGAACCCAGGCCTTCTTAGCAGTGGCTCCCCGCCTTTGGAATCATCTCCCCTCCGAGATGTATTTGGCCCCTTCACTGGGTATTTTAAAAAGCCAACTTAAAACCCGGCTATTTAGGCAAGCCTTCCCTCCGGACACTACTTAATTTATCTTTTTATCTTCCATCTTGAATGGCTGTTTATCGTTGTGAAATTGTTGTAAAATTGTTGCCATATTACAGTTGTTTTTATTCTACTTGTGAGCTGCCCAGAGTAGACATTGTCTAGATGGGCGTCAACTAAGTCTAATAAATAAACAAATGAAATATAAATTCTGACCTCGTCTCAACATCATGTCATGTAGGCAGTGAGAATCCAAATAAGGATGGCCTCTAGGTGGGAAGGGTTATAAGTCCTCATGTCCCACTCAGAAGCCAGCAAATATTGTAGTGTAAATAGCATTGCCACTCCCCACTAGCCTCATCATGAAGGGGCAGCAACAAGCCCACAGTCTTGTATGCCCAGTGTGGGGGCAAGGCAGCATTCTGCTGGGTGTGTGAAGGGCTAATGGTAGGTAGGATACATGTAAGCCCTGGCCCCATCCTACCTGGAAGGCTTTTACATGGTTCAATGTGAAGGTCTATAATGGCTTTCATAAATATTGCACAAAACTAATAGTTGTTCATTTGTTCCAGCATTTGAAGCATAGAATGGGTTGTTAGTATATTTTTTATCAGTCATCCATCACTTTCTGCTTTCTACCTGGGTAAGAAAGGGACTGTAATTTAGTGAAGAGACATTTTGGGCAAATTTCAAAGACCTTGAGAGGAAGGAAAAGTTGCTGCCCTTGCCATCAATATAGCAAAAAGGACTCTTGAAGCATGAAAATTCCTTGTTTAGATATGTCATCATATAAAGTCAGCCTAACTCAACAAGAACAAGGAATTTTGTCAATAGTCTTCATCAGTTGTTGTTGTTTAGTTGTTAAGTCATGTCCGACTCTTTGTGACCCCATGGACCAGAGCATGCCAGGACTTCCTGTCTTCCACTGTCTCCCAGAGTTGGGTCAAATTCATGTTGGTAGCTTGGATGACATTCTCCAACCATCTCATCCTCTGTCATCCCCTTCTCCTCTTGCCTTCACACTTTCCCAACATCAGGGTCTTTTCCAGGGAGTCCTCCCTTCTCATGAGATGGCCAAAGTACTGGAGCCTCAGCTTCAGGATCTGTCCTTCCAGTGAGCACTCAGGGTTGATTTCCTTCAGAATGAACAGGTTTGATCTCCTTGCAGTCCAGGGGACTTTCAAGAGTCTCCTCCAGCACCACAATTCAAAAGCATCAATTCTTCGGTGGCCAGCCTTCTTTATGGTCCAGCTCTCACTTCCATACATCGCTACTGAAAAAAACGTAGCTTTGACTATGTGGACCTTTGTCGGCAAAGTGTCTCTGCTTTTTAAGATGCTGTCTAAGTTTGTCATCACTTTCCTCCCAAGAAGCAGGGGTCTTTTAATTTTTTGGCTGCTCTCACCATCTGCAGTGATCATGGAGCCCAGAAAAGTAAAATCTGTCAGTAACCTGCATGATTAAGGTTCTGAATCACAGAGTGTGTGCTACCAACTCCCGTGTATAGAAATTCCCCACAGCACATGGTTGGTAAGGAAGACCAAGGAAGATGGGCAGGCACATTGCTTCCTTATCTCTACTCAATTATATGGAAGGAAATGCCAAAAAGGGCTTTTATGTCCAGATATTTTGAGTTACGCTTGTTGCACAGAAGTTCATTTAGCAACAAGCGTGCTTTAATTATAACAATTGTTGATGAATACATATGCTTGTTCACTACATATGTTATTTATGTAATGGCAACATGAGCCTATATTAATTTAAATGAGTCTCTTTTTCTTTATTGTTTAAATCACAGAATTTAAATTGCCTTGACTTAAATTATTCCTCCCTAGACAGTTCTAAACCTGGGATGGAAATAGTGCCAACAGACAGTTTTACAGTCTGAAGTCACATGGCTGAGTGCAATTTTGGATTCTCTTAACTATACGTATCTCCCTGCTTGAAAATAGACATTTTGCATGAATTTTCAGGCAATAAAAAATAATGAATAATATGTTAAGTTGTTTTCAGGAGCCTCCAGTTTATAATATCAGATTTGGCATCGCACAAATAAATTGAGTTAGTATTGGAAATAAAGAAACATGAGGCAGGCATAATTCTTCTTATGAATCATTTGGGGTTCTGAAACACTATAATATAGATATATGTGTAAACAACCATATATTTGGCTTTATTGTTTTCATATAATATTTTAGCTGCATAAATAAAACCAGTTGCAATTTTTCAGTAAAGCACGGTTAATTGGAGAGAATAGTTTTAAAAGATATAAATGATAGTAGTGTTTTCAGCATCACATTCCTTAGGCTTGATCAAAAGGCAGAGCAGACCCAGAGTAGTTTGTCATCAAAACAAGCATGGTTTCTTTCTGCTTTTAGTAGGGACTTAATTATAAAGCCTTTTCCTTATCTCAAAACTAAGGTTCTGGAATATTGTTCCCAATGCATTAGAGAGTTCTATAGTTCTAGTTGTTTTCATGCCTCGGTAAAACCTTTTTGAAAACAAGATCAGTTCCGTAGGTAGTTTTTAACTGCCACTAAATTACTTCCTTAATTATGTACAATATTGCACACGATTCTCTAGAACTATCAGAAAATATTAGAGCTCTGTGATCTTGAAGTCTCTGATAGAGCTTACTGTCAGCATATTCACATAATAGTGCTGCCTGTTCCCTACATAGTTGTGGATGCAATTTTGATCAGCAAACAATTGACAGCAATTTATTAACAAATAAGTAAAGCACAGTGATGAGAGGAATGTGGTAGCTCCACACACACACCCCCAATGTGACTAATCATGCAAAACTAAAGCGGAAGATACTGACCCTATTCAGACAGCCTGAAAGTATGTAGGGATCAGGGGGAAGGGGGCAAAGGAGGCTGCTCATAAGTTGCATCCTCCATGTCCCCAACCTATATGGACCTTCAGGTGTTCACCATGGAGGTCTGGTTAAGTGTTGTTGGCAAGTTCCACCGAACAGTGTTATCATGGCTGCTGATTGTAGAAAGGCTGTAAATGAATTTAGCTGAATGCACTTAAGTGTCTGTAGATATTTTCATTCTGAAGACTTGAAGGTCTGCAGTATTTCTGGATGGGATGGGGACTTGGCATGCATTGCTGCATCCCTACCACCTTTTGAGCCCACGCGCTTTCAGGCTGAACACCTGAATAGGCCCCTAGCTGTGTAGACTGTGTAGAACTCTAAGGTTCATTTCACATTCTCACTCACATCACATGGACAGCTTATACAACAGTCTGTAGTTCTCTTACTTTGAAGCCCCTATTAGGGTTGCTATAACTTGACAACACATAACAACATGTATATAAGAACCATACATTTCTTTAAAATTTGCTTTAATAACAGAGTGCATTTCTAATATTACTATGAAAAAAAACTATCACAGAAAGAGGGTACCTTGGGACTGTGTGGTAAATTTAAATTAACAATTTGGTACAAAATCTTATTTGTATTTGTTTGATCTAGATTTAGTTAGTTATGCTTTGAAATCAGTTGGTCTGGTTAGTCATGATGACTTAAATCCCACTTGAATGCAAAGGGACTAAAGCAGGATTAACTGTGTGTGAATTAAAGTCTGTATAAACTTACAGTCATCATATTACTTAATTCTGTGTTATACATAGTTCATATACAGGTGTAAGATTTACTAACACCATAATCCTATACTAGTCTGCTCAGAAACAAGCCTCTTTGGCCAAAATCATGTTACACTGGCAGAAGTGAAATAGTGTATCTTGAAGAAGTAAATTCCCACTCATTAATGAGTCCACACTTGGATTCCTCATTGCACACCTGTTGAGGAGCTCGACACATGGTCAGAAATCCAAGCAGGGACTCATTAATTAGTCTTAATTTTCCACTGTGAGTTATACCATTTCTCTTCCATCTATGCTTTCCATCTATGCAACAGAATTTTGGCTGTTAAGTTCGAAGGGTAGGTTAAACTTGTTCTCAACATATATTGAAATAGGCAAATGTATTGTCTCATTAGTAATAGAGTATGACCTAGCCTTGCCTTTGTGCATGTAGATTGGGAAATAGGTACTAATCTTCTTCTGCAGTAAATTTCAGAAATTTGGTCAGTATAGTCAGATTATTTTCCTGTTAAATTGCATGAAAAGTTCATTATTCTATTTAACATACTCCATATGTTCAGTGTTTTCAAGTTAGGAAAATGTTATTTGGTATAAAATTCCTTAACCATTGCATTAAGTATCAAATTGTATTGGATTCTGATGCTCCAGAGTATGGAGGACATGGCAGATTGGACCATAATACAGAATTCTTCTCTCAGAATTGTTCACAAAATAATCGACCTAAATCTCTTTTGGTAAGTACATTCTTTTCCATTTCACTTCTGTAATGTTTATTGCAGTGATAACATTTTATTAAATGCTTGCCTTTTACTTTCCAACCCTATCCAAAATGTGGCAAGATATTTGCATGAAAATCTAAGGTCAAACTAAAGGTCATCAGTGAATGTGCTTGTGACTTACACAAAGTGATAGCTGGGCAATGCTATTTCTAAATATATTTTGACTTTTAAAATCAAGTGTTACTGCAGTGCATACAACAATTCTGTGAAATAACTAAGCATGAAAGTATTTAATGTGCATTTTTGTTGTCATAATGTTTCACTCTTGAGTTGTTTCATTTTCATGTCTCAATAACTTGCACGCTTACCAGGTTTCTTTTGCATATAAGCATGAACATCCTAATCTCTACATCAATGACTATAGAATCTCCTAGAAAGGAGTAAGAAATAGTTCAACAATCATCTAACTTTTTTAGACAGACATGTTTTCTCTTAAGGCTCAGAAATATATATTCTCCCTAGGGATACTTAGCAGTGTTTAAACCAAACAATATTTTTAATGGTGTCTCGTATTAAAAATAGTGAAAGACCATAAGGAGATTTCTCTATGATATTTTATTTTGTATTTCTAATTATACTCCAGTACATTACTGCAGGCAAATCTTATCACTTCAGCAAACCTTATATTTGATATACTTTGTATATGAATAATCTATGCACAAACTTGGATTTTATTTTATTTCTGGTAGTTTTTCTTTTTCAGAAGTCCTCATCAATACAATCTGATCTTTAAATTTACTTTGTTCTTCTCTGTTTCTTAACAACTTAAACAAATGCTTATTTTTTGATGAAAAACCTGAAGACTTGAGCCTTTTTCAGTGGTTGTTATCCAGAATCATCAGCACAGATAGAGGCGAGGTTGGCTTGTCACTTCTCACTCAAGCACTGACATGTCTGAAGAGAAGGTTCCTGCTTCTGTATATATTCTTGCACACAAGGAAGAACCCAAATATTCTAGGGTTCTTACTCATATTTGGATCCTCTGTGCTAGCAAAAGCGCCTTATTTTCAGATTCATTGCCGCTCACATGAACAAAGCAACAAAGATGGAAGGAAGAACTATAGTTTTTGTATTCTAATTGTGCATTGTAGCTTATTTCCAGTAACCTTTCAAGTATCTTGGATTACAGAATAACTGAAGACAGCTTAGTTTAAGCACATTAACATGATATGGGTTGAATTTGTCCACTCCAGTAACATAGGATCAGGTTGACATGATTATTTATAGCATCCCCAACTGTATTCACAACTTGTACAGATTAAAGTGGAAGAAAGATAGCAAAACTATGTAAGTGTAGCTAGAACACAATTATGCAATCTCATGCAAAGTACTTCAACCCAAACTCAAATCAGACCAGAGGTTTTTGTATGTTTTGTGTAGCTTGTCCTGCATACATTAAAGCCTAGGAAAAAACCAAACAGTGGATTAACATATATATACCCCTATGCAAATTAATTGCTGTGTATGATTCCAGGGTATCTAGAATTAAGTGTGGCAATATGTTTATCCTTGTCACGAAATTTCTGTCTCTACATTGCTACTGAAATGAATGAGATACCTCATCCTTAAATTCAGTGAGTTCCATTCAGTTTCATAATACTGTAGGGAATTTTAGAAGTAAAACTGCCACTCCCCCCCCCCATTAACTTGTCATGGTGGTTTTAATATAGTAGATTGGCTTATTATACTATATAGTGGTGTTTTCACTAATAATAATAATTCATATATTTCATAAACTAGGTTCATGGTAACCCTTCCCAAGGTTTTCTATGTGCAAAGTCATCAGAAGTGGTTTACCAGTCCTTCATTCTGGTTGCCCTGTGAGACCGTCAGTTTGCTGAAGGCCACATAGGCTAGCTTTTCTCCCAGTGGAGAATCAATCTTCTGATCCTTGGTTGCCTAGTCAGTCCTTCAATCTATCAGATTTTTCATCTTTAATGTCCTCAAATTGTTTCTAACATAATTCTTTCTTCTTTCTAATGAAATGGAAAATGTTGGTCCTTAAGCTTTGTAGTAGTTCATAAGAGCTCAGTGGACAGTTATTCTGTTGCTACATTTCATATACATAAGAAAGTACAGTTCTACTTTCTACGGGCAATAGTATTCAGTCCAAGAAATAATGTGTATTCTGGTCAAGCATCACTGCGGATCCCAGGGAACAGCATAATAACTCTTATTTTTCCTTTCACTACACTAACATAGAATATTAACATGCAGCAAATAGGTTAAAATAATTATTTGTGTGTCTTATTAACTATAACATATTATAAATATGACATGCATAGTAGAAAATGAACGTGTCCTGAAGCTGGAATAGCTGTGTAGAAGGATCTTGACAAGTGCATGCAAATAAAAGCATGAAAAAAGCCAAGCATTTAGGCAACTAATATATTTCTAAAATAGCTAAAAGCTATGGCATGGTGACTGCACTACTATATTAGCTACTAAACCCAAGTGTGTGGGTCACAGTTCTCCTTTATATCCCCCAGCAACCCAATTCACTGAATGAAAGTGGTGGCCAGCACAGAGGACAGCAGGACACATACTACCTGGAGGTAAAGTTGCAGACCAAAGCATGCAATCCAGAACAATAGGACTTGATATAATAAGCCAGATCTAATTCTCCTGATTCTTCAGTTAAGTGTAAATCTCCGGTGTTTTGTAGATTCTACACAAATGTAGAGCTTGCATGTAAACACATTTATAGGTAATTACAAATTCCAGTATTCCAGTCAATGTCCTATGAAGAATAAATGACATCCACACAGCTCATTTTGAAGATATACACGCAGAATATAATTTCTATTGTGGGTATGATTTTTTTACTTGAGGACAATTCCTGATTCCCATGCCAGATGAAAGGACCTTATAAAATGACCTACCTCTGTTAAAATATCTCTAGAATGGCTGTACACATTCTGTATTTTAGCTGAAGCCCATCCGTTTAAAACATTTTGGTATGTCCGTGCACAAAAAGAGAAGGAAAATCATCAAGCCCACATAAAATGTCTGGTGCCTCTTCACAAGTTTGTGTATGTATGATATGGTGTGGGTCCGAAAAATCAGTCAAGTCTCTCTGAGGGAAAAGGAAAGTCTGGACCATTGTGTTGTAAAATATTATATAACAAAAGGAGAGTGATAAATTGAAGTTATAAAGTTGACTAGACCAAGTAATGGCTTACAACAGTTAAGAGTAACAGCGTATGAGATCATATGTATTCTGTTATGCAAACACATATTTCAAAGATACAGTAGCTCACAGGTATCCAGAGTTGGTATCTGTGGTTTTAGTTTTCCATGGTTGCCTCTTACTGCAACCCACCTTGTAGTGTACACATACACTTCCGCTTTTTGTCTTTCCAACTCTTTTCACTCACCGTGGACCAGTTGGGGGGGGGACGGGGTCCACATGGGGTGGTGCTTGCTTGTGTGGGCACTTGGGTACTTGTGCACATGCACTAAGAGATGGGGTGCTAGTGTGTATGCACAAAGGGGCTGTGCGGCGGGAGTGCAAGGGGAGGGCGTGCAGGAGGTGGAAGATCTGTGTCCACTGTCCAGCCAAGGCCACAGACCGGCACCGGGTTTTAACTGTGGAAAGAAAGGAAGGAAGATAAAGCTTCCCCTCTGTATACAGAAACTTCACTGGTAGTTGAATATTAGAGGTTGCCAGGGTAGGTCCTGTGTTAAGACTGGGTCTGATTAATCATATTTTACTACTATAATCAGGAAGTGGTTGTAACTTCCATGGATTATCCTCAGAAAAGAAGTAATTGACCAGAAATTTGTCTGTGTCAGAGAGGATAAAGAAAGCCAGATTTCAGTTGAATATCAGGGAAAACGTCTTAACTGTTAGAGCAGTGGAACCAGTTACCTCAGGAGTTGGTGAGTGCTCCAACACTGGATGCATTCAGGAAAAACTTAGATAATCACCAGGCAGATATGCTTTGATTGTATTCCTGCGTTGAGCAAGGGACTGGACTTGATGGCCTTGTAGGCCCCTTCCAATGTCACTTTTCTATGATTATGTAATTCAGAGAAGAAAAAGAAGCAATCAGAAATTTTAATCCCAGTAAAGAGGTAGACATTTCTTCTGCTAAGTTTAGAGGTTCCACAATATTTGTGAATAAATAATATCAGCTTAATTTTCAAATTAAGAACTGTCTTAGATTAATGCCAGTGGGATCTGGTGATAGAATTTAGTTGGTGTTGATTTGGAATATGTAGCATTTTTAGAATAATTTCTTCAAATAATTGTTAACATCCCATATTAAAAGAAATGTAACATTCTTTTTCATTGTTGGAATAAATGCTTTATTGGAACAGTGGCATTATGGCATACCCCTCCTCCCCCCGCCAAGAATTTAAAAATATCTTGTGCTATCTCCTTGCTTAGGCTGTTTAATTTGCAAAGCCTCACACAAACACATATGTTCATGCTGAAAATCATGTGGCTTTCTTGAAGCACATATTTGAAAGTAGTTGTGTGTTACAGAATTCGGCTATGACATTGAAAAGAATTGCCAGAATGCTAGCCTGAATCTGAATTACACAATGATACACAACATCTTGCAGTCACAATATACAGTGTTGCGCTAGCACTAATACAGCATTAGTTTCTGTCATGTTTGCTTCTGATTTAATTGGCTTGCTATGTGAACTAGATGGAAAATCTCTTTTGAGCTGCACATAAGCTATGCTGGGCACTTTTAGGAAAGAGAAGAGCCCAGTATAACAAATTGTTATGTATAGACTATCTCCAAACCACATATGTGCACACACATACAAAGATGAAGGTAATGCTGCCCATTTCATATAACCATTTTCCATGGATTATGGCGAGCATTGATTATGTTTGTCTCTGCACAGTGTGATATGGCAGACTGACATATTCTCAATTAGCTGTCATTTTATCAGCTATTATGCTGCAGTATATGACATTTGTCTGCAAAATATGTGTTGTGAGTTCTAACACATGAATTAATGTGGACATTTAGTCATGTTAAGATTCAAATCAGAGCATTTACAGAATGTAGTTATGTTGGCATTCCATTAGATACCCAGGGAAATGGATGTTCCATTAAATTGACATGACAGGTCACCGTTGGCACCTGAAGTTTTAAACCGGGCAATGTCCTAGTATATGGGGGAAGGAAAGCAGTTACTTCCTTATGGTACTACTGATGGATCTAATAGGAAGTTTTTCCTCCAGAGATTAAAGGCATCCCAGTGATTCCTGATGAAATATCTATTTTGCAAAGTTTTGCTTGCAGAAGCCTGGCCTCCTTTGATGAGAACTTCTGTGTCCCCTGTCCCACAGGGCAAATCCAGCCTGTTCCCTGGTTTGTCAGAGGGCTGGAAACAAAGAAACTGATTGGAGCTTGGTGGAAATATTGGGGGCAAATATTTACAGAGTAAATTTGGGCAGAAGCTCATTTTTTGAGCCTGTAACAAAGCAGTAGTGGTGAAGGACTAATATTTTCCCTCTATTACGACCGTTATCAGTATTTGCCTGTGAGGAAAAGCAGAATGCAAATATATGAGCGGGGGGGGGGAATAAATAGTGTTTGTGGAGTTTTCTGCCAGGTGTGAATTCAGCCTCCTTGGTTGTATATAATTGTTGTTTTCTCATGTGATAAATTTTAATGAGAAACTTTTTTCTATGTGAAAGAAATTTAGAAGGATAGCTGCCAGTTAATCTGTGGTATCTACAGTGTCTCCTCTGCAGAGCTTTCTAATATCAAGTAACTAAATTATGTAATCTTTTAATGAGAAAAGGGGGACTTGGCTTTGAAGGTGAACTTTTCCAGAGAGTCAATATTTGGGCTTCAAAAATCCGATTCATAATGAGTACTTCCAAAAGTATTGCTGTGAGGAGTCCTTTGAATCCAACCCACTATTTTTTTTACCAAAAGTTTTTTAATTTGATTTTGTATTGCCATGGAGAGTTCTAATGTAATTTATAAAAATTAAGTTTACATAGAAAATAACCCTTATAATTAGATCTGGTGGTATTCGTATTTGATATACGAATACCTGGTTGGCTAGCCACTCCTGGCGGAAGGAGGGAAGATGAGTCTCCCTGCAAGGCTGATGAGTGGCTAGCCAACCAGGCACTCTGGAGCGATTGAAAGGAAGACTGGGGCCAGCAGCGGTGGTGGATACGTGAGTGGCTGGTCCCACCCCAGGGCCCAGACCCTCGTTAACTCCAGCTGTGCAGGGGTATTCGTATACGAATACAAATACCCCCATTTCTACAGAAAATAAAGTTCTACAATAGGAAACAGATTGGAAAGGCTTGACAAACCTACCTACCTACCTACCTCCCTTCCTTCCTTCCTGAGATGTTATATGTGAAGTTGTAGCAATAGTGCCTTCCCAGTTTGTCCCAGGACAGTTTCAGAGGAAAGTTATAGCAGGGGAAGAGGGGTAAAAAAGGGAAACAAGAAGTGTACCAAACCAAAATAAACAGATTATTTGCACCCAGGCCTTGCCTTCTGTGTCATGTTACAAAAAGGTATTGGCAGAAAGCTTCCTAAATTACATAAAGATCCAGTTGTGCAATTCTCTTGATCCCACTGTTTCCACCAGAACTGGTGATTCACCTCTTTTTTGGCCTTCCATCCTCCCTAAAAACTGCTCTATAGAAATAGGAATCCTCTGGAACAGATTTATAGTGCCATAGATAGCTGAAAGGGGAAAAGAAGAAAGTCCCAACTGTGTACTGAAGTATACTATTTGGATCTTGATGATGTAACAGCCTTGCTTGGCTTGCTCATTAATGAAGAGGGTTATAGCCCAACACATTCAGAGGGTACCTGGCTGAAGAAGACTACTATATATTCCATATTTGAACATGCAGTTCTGTGGGATGTATAAGAAGGCCATAGTGAATTCAAATTTATAAGTATTTTTCTGCATTTCTTTAGGCTGGCAGTCACCTTTGAATAATGGAGTGATTTGGTGCAGCTGTTGACTCTATCTGGAAAGCTGCTTTATGCAGAAGTCCAATTTTATGTTATTTTCACACACACACACACCCCTTTAGTAAACACCCTAGTAAACAAACAAAGCAAGCCAAGAACCAATTAAAAAGGAATGCAGTTTTGAAGAAGAATACTGTATAAGCTTGAAATTATACTAGCATGGTAAATGTGAATGAAATGCCAACAAATATCAGTGTGATTGATAAAGGAAACTATGCTAGATAAGTAAATGGCAAGTGATGCAAGGCACTTAATCAGATTATGTAACAAGACAGGTGGTACTGAAAACCACAACCATTAAAAAGGCAGTTAAAGTTTCCATACCTGACAGTGTCATTTGCCCCCTTTCTGTTAACAGCTTTTTGCAGACCGTAGACAGTCCTCTTAAGTGTTTTTTGGAGGAGCTACACATTTAGATGAATAGATTTGTTGTACTGATTTGAAACATTTTACTACTCCTTAAGCCAGAGTTAAAACCTTAGATTAATTTGTACTCACCCATTACCTTCCAGAACAGTCTTAAGGGCCAAACTTAAACCTAACGACAAATGTGTCCTTGTATTTAACATAGAAGTTGTTGGGGTTTTTTAAAGTTAGATAGAATCATGTGGAAAGTTTCTGTTTTTCAGGGTCACTGAAGTAGAATGAATGTTTCATCCATTCTTCTCCACCCAAAGCTATTCTGTTTCTTTATAACAGAGCTGAAGAAGATATGAACTGCAAGATCTCGCTGGACTAAAACTCCCATAGGGCCTCTTCATTGGCCATGTGTGGCTGTGCTTTAAGCAATGGGTGTGCTTTGTCTTTGTATAAAATATTTGGATAATATTGGGTAAAAATGATAGCACAAGGAAGAAGTGCCATCAAGGAGACTGACAGCTGGCTGGTCTATGATGTGCTATTTCTTCTGCATACTTTGATTGGATAGGTCACAGTAGTGTTAAGAACTGCTTGCCCACCTCTTCCTTTTTTGCCTTTTTCCCCTCCTCCTCTTTTTTCCTTATTGGTAGGTGTCAAACAAACACCAGTGTCTCCTGCTCTTAGCAATATCTTATCAGAAGAAAGAAGAACTGAGTATTTTCCAATTCAAACCATCCTTACAGTTAGACTTTTGATGCCTTTTGTCACGCCTGGAAGTAAAATCTTTTTGGGTCCTACCTGGACATATTTCTAGTAGTTATCAAGTGGGAGAATTCCATTTTTGCCCTGCCACATTGCCACTTAGAGTAGTCCGGCAGATAGTTCCTTTCCTGGGACAAAATGGTCCCCTGGAGATGACTGTCCCCTGCACCTGAACAGGTGCATGCCTGTCTGAAATACAAACACACTAATTCAGAGCCACCGCATTGCATTCCCCAATATAATGGTCCATCACAGTCTGACAAATATTTGGATACAGGTCAGGTCAGGAATATACTTACTCTCTCTACTTCAAACCATTTCTTTCCTGGCCACCTAGTTAACTGCTAGTAATCCTTGTTTAACTTCAAACCATTGTTTTGAATATTACAGTATTTCTGTATTGGGCAAATTATTTCACTGTGCTGGTAGCTGCTTGCATTTACCGGAATATGATTTTGTTTATTCCTCCTTCACCCCAAAAGACAATACATCGCTTAGCACCTGTGTCTAGGAGTCATAAATAAATACAACCGACAACTATCATTAATTTTTCTACATGCACAAATTTAAAGACACGTGATTCTATCCCAAGTGTATGTCATATTCCCTGCTGAGCAGATCTGTAGGAGTTATTTATCACTAAAACCTTAGGAGGGAAACACTCTGTTCACTGGCGAGAGCTGAGATGCATTGGACATGCTACAGTCTGCTTCGATGAAGATGAGCTGTTCTCCTTTTTTCCTAAAGCCGTTTGCTTTACACCTTTCATTCCGGTTCCAACTATAAAAGCTTTTCATGCCATCAGTCTGGCTCTTGCTCAGAGATATTACATGGCTGAAAATAGCATTATGTTAGGAATGCCAAGAGGAGGAGAGGTGTCTTAAAACACTGCGGTTGTCAAAGAGGAAGCCTGCAATCTTCACTCCTCTTCTGGCTCTTTTCTAATTGCATTGTTATTGAGTTCAGTTTATGTGATCAATTGCATTCAGCAGTCTGTAAACTACCACATATCAAGGTAATTGGTAAACAGAATGTATCTGTCATGTTTTGAGTTGTGAGCCTAATCTGTACTTGGAAAGTGCATTGTGCAGAGATCATATGTTGCCACTGATTTCTTTTTGCCTTGTTAAGAGAAAAATAGCTTGGAAGATCAAAACAAAAGATGCAGTTCAATCAGATTAAAAGTTTGTGTGTGAGGGGATGAGTGGGAGAACTTAATCACACTTTGGAAAAGCAAATGATGGCATTTTTCCATTCAGGAGCAAATACAGTAAAACCTATTTCAACCTGTGGATTCTCAAATGCATATCTGCGATTCACCTGTATAAAATGACATCATAGACCTGGGGCAGCTTTAATTCAGAACACAATAGAGCTTAAATGCAGCAGTAAGAGCTTGTCATTTATCACTGTACAATGTATCGACCTGGATGTCCTCAAATGTCTAAAATAGGTAGTAATTGTAAATCACATGGAGCCCTCTAGTGGTAATTATATTTAAACCTATCACCAGATCTAGGTTTGGGAATGGTAAAAGAAGTGTATCATTTCTGTTACCTTGTGGTTACCTCAGGGACACAATGCCTGAGTCCCTTATGTAACCCTATATTTAATTAATATTGATGGCACACTTCATATATGTCAGTTACTAATTGCATATTTCATGCTTAAATGGTAAGTAGCTTATTTTATGTATTTAGATTTATAGCCTTCTCTAGCCAAAGAGAATAAATAACCTTAGAAATATTGTTGTCCTCCTTCTTAGGTTTACATTCCAAGCAGAGTGGGCCTCGTGCTTCAGAATATGGATATTCAGAACTGAAAATTTTCATTCTAGAACTGCATCTATATCAGCAAAGGCCAAGTGGTATTTTGATTGGTGGTGGTATCTAGGACTTACTGTTCCAAAAACATTTTTATTTCAAGATACATTGATATTGGGAGATTCTTATATATGTTTATTCTCAGTTTATAACTCTTAAGCCTTCTGATTGTGAATTGCTTATTCAAAGTGAGCATATATGAAAGTGGAAGAAAGAAGATGGTGTTGCTAACAGCTGGATGTTACAAAAATAGACTTTGGAACATTTGGTAATCTAAAAGTAAGGTTTTCCGGTATTCTATCAGGAATAATATGATCTATTTCAAAATGCATGCTCTGTTTTCAACTATTTGCTGCAATTCCATTTATAATTTGTTTTGAATTTATTTTTAAATAGTCTATATTTCCATTAGTTATTATTATAATTTTGACATAAAAGGCTAATATATTTCTTGAACACTGGATTACAAGTTACAGGGATTTTTGTTTTGTTTTCTTGTACTGAACCACTTTTTAAAAAGGAGTTATAAGACTTAATAAAATGTTTGCAGGACATTGATTTGGGGAAACCACAAGATTGAAGAAATTCCATTTACAGAAGGACTTTAACAATTTTTTTCAAAGTAAACCCACTGACACTGAGACATAGGTCCATGGATTTGTATTTATCAAACTATATGACATATAATTTTTAAAAATGGAGTCTAAGTCTTATTTTTTTATAGCAATAGCTTCAAAATATTAACAAAACATAGCCAAAATCCTGTTGTGCAGCTCCATGTGTGCAATGAAGACAATGTCTTCAGTAGTGACAAATCACCACTATTTAAAATCTTTCTCTGGCAATGTTCGGGTGCACACTAATCAATCATATTCTGTTTAAGTCCCTTGCACTGTGGAATCGCCAGAGAATATCTTTGATCAGTAGTGACTTGCCGCTGATTATGATGTCATTCCCATTGTGCTCACAGAACTGCACAACAAAATTTTAGCTAATATTTTCTGTCTATAGAGATTTGAACGATGACCAGTTTTGTACTTGTGTCTGTGTGTGTGTTCAGCACTCGTGGAAGCAAGACTTTCTTTACTTCCTCCACCCACTTCAGATCTTTATGGCACAAATAACCTGTTGTAGAGGTTGTAGTGGCCCTCCAGAGCAAGCTTTTCTAGTTTATACTCGAAACATTACTGATTTAGGTGGAAGCAGACATGATTCATTGGGTTAAGAGAACTCTAGGATAGAGCTTTGAACATATGTGAGACATATGAGATTGAAGTATTTCTGGATTAAAGTTTAGTAGTCTTCAGTAGTTTAGTAATAGGAAACTGGCTCATCACTGGTTATGCCTTATCTTGAGTGTTGTGTCCAGTTCTGGGCACCACACTTTAAGAAGGATGCCAAAAAACTGGAACAAGTCCAGAGGAGAGCAGCGGGATCAGGGAACTGGAAACCAAGCCCTGCGAGGGAAGATTGAAAGAACCAGGCATGTTTAACTTTGAGAAAAGAAGACTGAAGAGGAATATGAGAGTACTTTTCAAATACTTGAAAGGTATTACAGAGGAGGGGCAGGATCTCCTCTTGATTATCCCAGAAGACATACAACAATGGGCTCAAGCTACAGGAAGCCAGATTTTGGTTGAATATCAGGAAAAACAGTCCAGAGCAGTCCAACAATGGAACCAGTTACCTCGGGAGGAGATGAGTGCTGCTTAGACATTCAAGAAAAATTGGACAGCCATTTGTCAGATCTACTTTGACTTAGATTCCTGCACTGAGCAGAAGGTCAAACTTGATGGCCTTATAGGCCCCTTCCAACTCAATTATTCTATGAAACCTTTGGCCTTCTAGATATTTTGTACAAATCCCTCAGTTTCTTGTCAAAGGTCATGTTAGCTGGGCTTCTGGAAACTGGAATTTTAATAAAATCCAAAGAGACGTACAGTATGTTCTCCATCAATTCAGTAAATACCGTATTTTTCGCTCCATAAGACGCACAGACTTTCCACACCCCTGTTTTGTGGGAAAAAAGTGAGTCTTATGGTGCAAAAAATACAGTATGTTAAATGCATAAAGTCTGGAGAGCCAAAGATTCCACCACCCACTAATGTAGTAGATTATAAGAGTCACATCATTTCAAACACATATTAAGCTGAAGTCAACTAAACATTCTTTAGTCTTATTTATGTTTTGTTATATTAATGTAGCCATCAGCAAAGATGTCACCATAAACATATAACTAGTCTACAGCATGTACAACACTTGATCTTGCACCTTTCAGAATCAAAATATGTGTTTTGTTAGCCATGAATGAACAGTAACAGCTCTTTAATCAAGTTGGGAGATAAATTTGAAATGAGGGAGTGAAAACAATATATTCTTCATTATGTAGGCTTTAAAAAAATGACTTGTAACATAAATGCAAGAGATGAAAGCCTAGCCTAACTACGGACATCTATATGTCATAACGTTACTGAATTACCCTTGTGCTTTTTAAAAAGACACATATTCTTTCATTGAACTTTAGGAACATTTGTGATAATATAGTTTTTATTTTAAAATATCATCAAGCAAGATGTTTACAAAAGGAATTGTTGACTTATTTGGACTAGCTATGTTTTGTTTCAACTTGCAGAAGTCAAAGTTCTTGTGTCTATTCTCAGTCCCTTGCTCAGTGTTCACTGTGATCACACCATTCTGCAGCAAGGTTGTAAGTGCCACTGTAGTCTACCTAAAATATTAATTACAATGCATGAAGTTTCTATTTTAGAATCAAAGAAGCATGATGAATAGCATGGATCCTCCATTTGAGAAGCAACTGTTTTATTTCTCCTTGTCTGCACAGTCGTGACATGGAACCATTTACCAGAGAGAGTTGTGGGAAGATGTTGTGGGGAAGTATGTTCTAATTACTGCCGACACAAGAAAAAAAAAGGGGGAGGAATCCGTGAAAACACACTTCTCCAGTCTGTGGAGCACAGAAGTATTCACAAACACAGTAGCTTCTGGTGTGTTTAGTTAATTATGTCATCTGAGAAAAAATATATATTATAGTGCTAATTAACATCCTATCTGGTCAGTTTGTTAAATAAGAGCCAGATCACCATTCCTGCATTTTAAAAGCACTCTGAATAAAGATTCATTTTGCATTTTTAAATATGGATTTAAATATTTAATATTTTCTTAGATGGGTTTATTAAAACATCATACTGATTTTTCTGGCCTACTGTCTGCACATTTTAAAAGGATTAATGTAAGAATGTTACCTGCCAAGCTTAAGTTCAAGAAAAGCAATAAACATGTAATATGATGAAAACCTATAAAACTGCATTCAATAAACAAGAGGAAGTAAAAATATTGTTTCTGGAATTTTTATACTATAGTTTAATTTTAGAAATTACTGATGCATACTAGAAGATTTCAGCAACAGTAACATTGCCATCTGCAGTAAAAACTTTGGATTATAAGATAATTACAATTTTTTCTTCTTGTGAGACCTACACCAGAAGTAAAATAACACATAATGCTTCCATCTGATTTACAAGCTTTCCAGATCACAATTCCACCTTTAGGTAGTAGCAAATTGCTGTATTGGTGGGATCAAGATTTTCAAAGTACATTTTCTTTATATACAAATGCTGGGAAGGCAGTAAATGCACCTTAAATGGAGAGAGGGGAATCAGAGAGAGAACTACATTATTATGCTTGGTGCCCTAAATACATATTTCATGTTCAAGCCTGAGGGCTGAATTGCTTTTAATATAAAGACAAGATTTGCAACATTTATAGATGCCAATAGAAGTTTGTACTTTTACTATAAGTACAGAAGCCTGGAACTATCAATAGGATAAGGAGCATTCTGGCAGTGCCCACTGCGCTCTCGCACATTTTTGAAGCAGACTTGCTTACAATGAGATTTCTTGCATTCAAAAAGGCCAAGCCCCTTGTTAGTGCAACTGAGTATTGTGGCACAGACCTTCCATTCACATGAGTAGCTTACTTGTATATACAGTCTTATCATGGAGAAAGAATTAAGACCTTTCTCTTTTTTTCAACTTCCCCTCTAATCACAGGAGCAAAACATTGGTGGGTACAGTTATTTATATGCAAGCATTAGCTGAAGTAGGATCTACATCACCCTAAAGGCTACCTTTCATGAGGTATTTTGTATTTGAGTTCAACACTGAAGGATCAGGGCTGCAACCCACATTCAAGGTTTGAGGGAATTGAGGGCCATGTACTAAGTATTCTTCAAACCCGCTGTCTGACCCTCTCCCAGTTACCTTGGACAACCAATCTTCCTTCTTCTGTATCCAGTGTTTAATTTGTCTGCTTGTGTGGGTGTGATGTATTTAAAATAGTACCTGTGATAGCCGTTGTAGGGCCTTCAGTACCCATGGCATTTCCCTCAAGACACTGGATGCTGGTGTCATGGCTTGTATTTCCAATTAGAAGCATCAGCAAGTAAAAGAAGGTTAATATCAATTTTATATACAGAACCTAAGTGTGTACAGGAGTGCAGGGAGGAAATTCTTGATAAAATTCTATTTTTGCTACACAGCAGAAGTACAAAGATCCACAGGGGAGAATAGCTGCAAGTTCCCCAGAGTCCACCTCTTTCTCAATAACTGGAACTCAATAGGAGAAAGAATAGAAATGTGCCTTTACTTACAATTGCTTAAAACTACAGACTTGTGTACACAGTTTTCTTCACTACACACATACTGGCAACCAACTGAACAGATCAACAGCAACAAACAACTGTCACAGACCAATGAAAGAAAGGAACAGAACACACAGCAGAGAGGAGGGGCTTGCTTTAAATTTCTAAAGCTGGAATGAACAATTGTTTAGAGCAGAGGTCTCAAACTCAATTTACCTGGGGGCCACTGGAGGCAGCGTCTGGCTGAGGCTGGGCCGCATCAGATTTTCTGCCAAGCGGAGCAAGAGCCCAAGGAAGCCGCCCAGGAGTTTCCTTAGCCCGGCTGGGGCTCTGAGGAGGAGGGGTGTGCAAGCCCTCGGCGTCAGCCACGATGGAGGAGGAGGGGCGTGCGAGCCCTCATCGTCGGCCATGATCCCCTCCGGCTCCTTCTTCACTACCACCACCACCAGCAGGATGAAGAAGCAGAGAGGGAGCACCAGCGACTGCCTAGCCGGGGGGGGCACGGGCGTGACATAAAATTTAAAAAAACCCTCACAGCACAAACACACACACACACACACACACACACACACACACACACACACACACGGAGGTCCGGCAACCTTCCTCTGAAGGCCCCTCAAAAAAAGGCACACTCATCAGCAGCAGCTACCCCCACCACGACAGGGGAGCAAACTGCAAGGTGAGCCCAGACAGCCTCCAGAGTCAAGGTGACTGAAGCAGGATGAAGAGGAGGAGGAGGAGGAAGCACTGCTGGACGCTGAGGCAGCCACTGGCCAAGCTGGTGCTGGGGGTGCCGAGAGAGAAAGAGCCAGAGAGCTGCTTCCCTGGAAGAGGTGGTGGCAGCTGTTTTGGCAGCTTGGAGGCACTCTTCAAGGGCGGGCCAGGAGCAAGCTCCGCTCTCAGGCATCGTGTGGCGGCAGCTCAGGCGCTCGGGGGAAAGGGCTGTCAGCGCGCCTCGCTCACCGGCTCTCTCCCAAGACAGCGCCTCTTGCATCCTCCATCCGGAACTGCAGCCTGCCAGCCAACAGACCAGCAAGCTGGCTTGCAGCCTGCAGTTCCGTATGGAGAGTGCAAGAGTCGCTGTCTTGGGAGAGAGCCGGTGAGCGAGGCAAGGCTTTTTTTGACTCTTGACAGTAGATGACATGTGGGCACTTCGGGGCGGCAGGCAAGGCCGGGGCCACAAACTATCATCCGGCAGGCCGCAAATGGCCCCCGGGCCACATGTTTGAGACCCCTGGTTTAGAGGATGGACAATTACCCCACCCCAGAAAAGTCAAATCCCAGACTGAGAGAGCTACCAGTAATTGCTGCCAGAGAGGTTTACAATGCCGTGGCACACAAAAGAAAGTACTTGGGTCAGAATTCATTCAGTTCTTTCTAGGTTTGCTATTGATAGGTTTTTGTTCGTGAAGTACACCATCACCAGCTATGACAAAAACAACTGGTATTTTAAAAACTATTGCCTCTGCTTTTCTTTTCCTTTCCCTCCCTTCTGTGAATCAAAGTGTTTGTCGTGTTTTGCTATGACTTACTAACATGATTTTCAGCCAAGCAGATTGCCAAGTTAATTACAGAGCTCGTTTCTTTTGGATGTGAGCCTGGCTTTGGCGTAGCCTGCGTTACTTTAAAGCATTATACAAAAGCAGTGGATTTCCCTCCCCCTTCCCCTTCTGCCAGCCACAGTTTAAAACAGTGAGAGCAGGCTCCTTCAACACACCCCAGAAGTGCTGCATCTTCCATGCTATTGAGGTTTACGTGCATATGCATACCTTTTGCTTCTTATGCCCATAATACATAACTGCCTCCCTCCCCCTGCCAGGTTTGGTTATATAAAACATGCACAGCAGAGAGCTGAAGCCTAATGATGACATGTCAACTGCCTGGTATCTCAGTAACTGCTT